TCTCATCGAGGGAGTCACACAACTAAGATCAGATGACCTATGAAGGCCTTTTCGAGTTTCAAGAGTGAGCTTAGGGATCTGTAGCTTATGTTCCCATACATCTTGCCCCCCAACAGGAACTTCATTATCGGACTGTCCGTTAGGACTCATGATAATATGATCTGTGTAGTGACCAAGGTCCATGTAGAAGCTAGAGAGCTTGCGTTGAGGGACTGCTCTTCTCGGTTCGGCCATTTCAAACGCCTTGAGGTGTTCACGACGTTGTGCCTCTGTATACGTTTTGGAAGTGCTTTCCACAACCGGAAATAAAGTGGTTGAAGATTTCATAGATGTAGGTGAGTCGAACATTACCCCGCCGATTGGCTCTAGTTTTGAAAGATTGGATCTCGACGCCTGTCGTTTCGAAAGTGTCAGAGGTGATGTAGCAGTATTTTCAGTCTCATCTGCCTTAGTCTTGACCTCAGGGGCTACATATGTAATCGGGTTCCCTCCTCCATCCTTCTCGCTATTCAGAGCATCATTCAGAACACCTTCCTTTTGAGGTTCTGGAAATATTTCTCCAATTTCAGCAAGGATTTGATCGATTTCATTCATGAGCTTCTCATCTTTTTTTCCTTTTGTGTCCGTTGAATCCACGTCAGTATTCTTGGTCAAAGAGTTGATTTCAGCACCCTGATGTTCTGTTTCTTCCGTCAACAATGAGTCTATATTATCCGTGCTAGATTCTTCTGTGCCTGATTCCATGCTGTTGGAGGTGGCTGGCATGTTCGTCATTGCCATTCCACAAAAAGTCTTTTGAGTCATTTCTGTGCAATGAGATGATGGGGGTGTTACGGGACTACCTGGTGTCTGTTTACAGAACAATGGCGAGCATTGGGTCGTGGATACAGATGATACTGTGGAAAACTTCCGCGATGCATCTTCAGAGGAGCTCGTACAGGGGGTCATTTGAAGATCGACTGTTTGTGATGATTCCGGAAAGCTGTTGAGATGTGTTTGCTCGATAGAATTGTCTGAAAGTGCAGAGGAAGAGGTCTTTACTGTGATCGGCGTGATCGATTTCCTTTGTAGAGGCGCATGCGGTATAGACTTCGGGCTTTCCTTTGCAGGAGAATCCAATTCTTTTTGTTCCAGAATTGACTCAAGGTCTTGGTCCCATCTGGGTCCAGAAGAGTTATCCGATGGTTGACCAAGACTTTGAGAGCAATGGCCTATCAAGTGCCAAAACAAAAGCTTAGTAGATAATTAAGCTGTCAAAGGAAGGGGCCACATTACTCACGTCCAGAATCGTTTACTTCGCTATCAGTCACATTTAAGACTTCTTGCGCCTTACTGGTGCTATCCTGGGATGATTTCTCGTCTTCAAGTTGAGCGGCTACGTTCAAAATCTGTCCGCTGGAAAGGGACGAATCAGATCGCGTGTCGGTCGGGGAGATGCAATTCAGTTGACTCTTCGTCTGGGTAACTGACGTAAATGGACTACGAAACTTGAGTGAGCCGCATTGGGTAGTCTCTTCCTCTACTTTCTTCTTCTCATTCAAGACGTTGTCGAAAGAGTATGGCAACCTTTGTAAGGGTGGGCAAGTGACTGGAGTATTTAATGCGCTTGACGAGGTGGTGCCAAGGAATGCCGCAAGAGGCGAATAACTCGAGGTTGATACCCTTGTCTTGAGAAGATCCAACTTAGAGAGCTGTTCGCGAGGTGTTGAGCGAGGTACGTGAAGTGAGGGAGCCATTGAAGCACGCTGAGACCTATGTAGTTCTCGAGAGGCCTTCTCGTCTGTGGAGTCCGATTTCGACCTGGATCTGGAAGATTTGCCTCGAACCTTTTCACTCCGGATTGTACCTTCATCAGTGGCCTCGAGCGGCCTTTGCTCACTACTCTTGGACGGACGTCGCTTCTTTTCGGAGGTATGGCGAAAAGATGATCCAGAAGGTTTCTCTTCTATTGTGTCGAGGTTGTTACCGTCCTTGTCAATTATAATCGGTGTTCCTTCTGTGCAGCTACTCGCGCGACGCCGTGAATGAGATGAACTCTTTTTGACTCTGCTCTTGTGGCTTGAGCTCGATTGTTCCGGTTCGCCCGAAAGGCCACTAGCCTCAAGTCTTGGATGTGATGATTTATGCCTTTCTCTCTTCTCTTTAGCTCTGACATCGTCATCAGTCCGGCTTCGATGTTTAGATCGCTTCTCAGGAGCTTTCTCGGCCACGTTTTGCGAAACTTCCAAGACCGCTCCGGAATCAGTGCGCTGGAGGTCGCTGATTGGCTTGGATGGGCTTGTATGCGACCGTGATCTAGATGCAATAGAGGGGGCAGTGCTTCCGTAAAACGCCGCGAGGATAGATCCGCCCGAACCGTCAGGCTTCTGTGGACTGTCGATAGGAGATTTCACTACATGATCGAGTGTTTGGCCGGGGTTGCCTCTCAAAGATTGTACAGTAGGGTTGGCGAGGGGAGAGGCAGATGCAGAGTTGGCACGTGATGATATTTTTCTTGCACTGCTGAGCGCGGGACTCAGGCTTGGCCGTTGGGGCAGCACGGCCTCATCATTGGTACAAGTGTGTGATTCACCGCTCCTGGATTCCGTTCGACCATCTTCATTCGATGATTTATGGCTTCCGAGTTCTCCAGGCAAAGTTTCGAGCGGCTACAATGCGTAGGTTTTTGTTTTGAGAGAGATAAGTTCGCACATGAGAGATATATTATAAGCTGGGATGTTCACGATCATTCACAGATCAGAAAGGATCGAAATGATACTCACATTCATACCAAGAGGATCCGGCGCTGCTGTTCCATATCGGATAGGGGATGTAGTGGTTACATCAGTTTAAGCCTAATCACAAAACTGTTGCTGATATGAAAGCTGACCTTTACTACCAGGACTGTATTTATCAAATCGCACACTATGAACAGTCCGTCGTGTCAGATTCGAACGTCCTGTTTGATTGTCGCTGTGATCTTCTCTTATCGGGGGAGAAGGTAACCGCTTGCTGAGATAAGGCACAGGTGACCGTTGGGGAAGCGCTGATGCAAGGCTTTCCAAGACCTGCGAGCGCGGAGTAAGACGTTTGATGGAACATTGAGTGGAGTTCGAACCATCTCTTTGCACCCGATCTGCTGTTCTACTTTCCATCTGTGGTTGAGTCTGCTTAGATGCCGACTCTGAGGAATTCGAATATGATCAATCAAAGTCAATCAACTGTGTTTCGACTTAGCTTCACATGTGACCTCAAAAGTCTGAAGAAAAGGTATGTAGGGATGATCGTAAGAAACCGAGCTGCGAGCGAGATCACACACCTCCATGTGATGATAAGGGAGAACTGCAAAGATGGTCATCTTGCCCAGATGATACAGGTAATGAGGGCTTTCTAAAATGTAGATAGGTATGAACTTCAGTTGATCAAGTGCCCTGCAAGGAAGTTAGTTTGGAGATATGTGCTCACTTTGCAAAAGTATTTAGCCAAAGACGAGGCATGATTGCGGATTCGAGGATTGAAGATATTGGAGCCCGAGAAGGAGTGAAGTTGACTTATAAGGACGAAAACCGGATTGTACGATACTTGCTTGTTCGACCAGCGAGAATATCAGACAAGAAGAGAAAACATACCATACACTGATGCTTGAGGATAACAGATGTGAGAAAATTTGACAGACAGAGCCCTTACGGATTGCGTTCCGACAACGGGGAGAAGAATAGAAGGCGAAAAGTGCGCTAGTGTGGTCCGGTTATATCACAAATCTGGATGATGAGGTCGATACTATCACGTTTAGTAACGACCGATTCCGATGGCTTGACTACCCCGCGGTTTGGTCTTCAAGTGATACGACAAACGCATGAGTAGCTGGAGTAAACGTGTGGATAATGGCTCGTCTCGCTTGGATGGATCTATGGAGACCGAGGTGAATAATTTCCCGTCAATGATGGCGACGAGATCATAACTCCCGCAATAACTCGCCTTTTCCATGGAAAGATCGTTCAGGCTCCTGGAGCTCGACGCAAGTGGGGGGAAATCTGCTGCCTTGATAACGGACGTCTTTTCGGCGTCAACTTGTCTTCGATCATCATGTATGTCCCATATGTAGTTGGATGGTGGAACCTTCCGATTGACTCAGACTTTGATCGTTAGCAACTGCCCTCTTCCCCCGGGGGAGACAGCATTCGCATTTGGCGGTTCGAGCGCGTGCTGTACTTTATCCATTGTACCGAGGAATTGAAAGGTCTTACGACCGACAGCGCTGCGCGATATCCCTCATTTTATCTGAGTTCGGCATTGCAATGGTATGTCAATCCAGAGGTCTTGGGTTTAGGTTTGGCAGAGGATAAAATGAGCCCACCAAGACACAAACTAGAGAGTGACACAGCAACCATTGATTGATACGAGTGGAACATGCTGATGAGCGAAGCAAGGAGAAGCAGAGGGACAGGGACGTTACTGCCAGGAAGCCCGCTTATGCTAAATACTGAAGTGAGTGGTTATGGAAAAACTCTTTCGAGCAAAGGAAAATGGTGCTCGTCATCTTTATACTGAAAACTTGTGGACCATTGGACTAGAAGTTGTCAAATGCTTTGATTTCATAATATGAAATAATTCATTTAGAGCTTGGAGCATTATTGAACAACAGCATGAGACTTGGTCAAGTTTGTACATAGATAATGGAGGTGTGCAGAATCCTTGAAGGAATGAAACAAGACAGTATATTCGTGTTCAATCCATTCATCTTTGTTAACAACACGTGTCCCTCACTAAACTCTTCATCACAATATTTATGTAGCTAATTCAGAGAGAGATACAAAATTACTTCACCCTGATGTGTTTATCTAGCTTGGCAAGCGATGCCAACGGCAACGTGAATTTGGAAAAGCTTATCTCCATTATTTTATTTGCTAGGTTGAAAACCGTAGCAGGGGAAATCTCGTAATTCCAAATGTCATAACACTTTTGGCTAAAAAGTCCTCTCCAGCCACAAAAAGCAAGCCCCGCACCTAAGTGTGGCCACTCGACGGAAGTGAGATTTGAACTCACGCTCACAAAGTGAAGCAGCTAAATCATGACTACAGGTAGCACGGTTCTAAACTGCCGCCTTAACCACTCGGCCATCCCGTCTTGTGCCCCGATCCCAATTCAAGGAATCTGAACCCGTTTCCTACTCAAACACCGTAGTACGACATACCGCGACCTTGAGGGTTGTTGGAAGGGTTGGTATATGATTTGGCAGCAAAGACTTTGACTGGAATGAATAGAGAATCAGGAGAAAGTATATAAACTCCGATGAGAATGAGAACCGAGGAAGTAGTCGAGTTAATAACTTCTGCTACGGTGTGAGAGGTATAGATGGATAGATTATGAATGTAATTGAGACTATTATAAAATTGTTTAAACGAATCGGTTGTTTGAACCATGAGTTTTAGGGTGGCCGATTGTCTGCAAATGTTTGGTGGACTAGACGATGGCAAATGAAAATCAACATCAAATTCTAACTGGACGGCGTCATGGTTGTAGAATGATGCTGTGTGTGCATGTGTGTGTGGGTGGGTAAAGCCTGTATCGGGATTTCAGTTCTAAGGCGCTTGAGATACATAATTAAATCTACAAATTTTGTTTGGATTTGTTTAATAAACAATTTCTTCTCTTACAATATGCCTTTTCCGATTCGATTTCAATCTACTTCTCTTGTCAACCATTTTCATTTCTTTCATTTTCTCATAACACTATCTTCCTGAGCATAAAGTGCAGGACTCTCTAACCTCCGATTGCTAAATCACCCTTTCAACCTTCCCCGAAACTATTCATCTCAATTACACATTTCGAATTTCACTTTAAAATATTATCAACATATCATATTGGAATTGTCTAAATTCGATTTTTCTTTCTATCACAACTTGTTCTTCTATCAAACCTCTTTAGCTTCTTCTTAAAAGTACTTTACTAAGTATTTATCAAGTGACCATTGGAGTTCAGGCCCAGGTTAGTCGAAAGTTGGAGTTCAAGCTCAGATCGACTGAAGATCGGTGACCCTATCTCATTATACTCTTGACGCATGAACCCAATCCTATAATCTACGATCCAAGTCATTCCCTGTTGTACCCTAAAACTCAACATCGAAACTCGAGTCCTGAATAACAGTGCATATAATTCACTTTCTCAACTATCAATCTCAACCACAATACGAAATGGCCGGACCAGTAGCGATCCCATTCGATACCCCTCCATCTTCTTCCTCAACAGCAACACCAAGCAAATCCAAAACAATCACAACCACTATCACCACTCATCGTCGGCATCACTCTTCGAACTCCAATTTAACTTACTCTAGCTCTGGTTCACCTTCTCATTCCTCCGACTCACCACCTTCATTTCCATCCACACCATCTCCCACCCTGAAATGTTACAAAGACCAATTAATGATTCCTTTTACGACCATGAAAATTCGATATGACTCCAAAAGCGATCCTACCTCGAATGCTCAAACTCCGACAAACCATCATCAGTCTCCTCGGCTCACAATCGAACCCGATGTATTTGATTTCAACATCAAGACGGCTACTCATTCTCAACATTATTCTGTTGATGAAGATGACCATCACATCCTTTCAGAAACTTCCTCTGACGACCGCAAACACCCTCACCCACCTGTCATCTACTTGAACCGCTTGCTAAGCAGCCCAACTATAACCAAGATCACCTATCCCAAATCTCTTCAGGTTTCGCGGCCACATTTCGACCAGCTTCCCGACCAGCTTCACAAACTTTTACATTCCATTGCACCTCTTCCATCGTCCCTTGCGTCGCCGAAGGTTTACGATGATGATCATTCTCATGAACAACATTTTCCCAAGATTCCATGTCATTCTCTAAAGTCTACTCCCGAAACTTCTAGTTTACCATCTATTGTCACTATCGAACCCGATGTCAAAGAAATCAATCCCATCACTTCCATGTCTTCTCTCGAGCAGTCCAACGCTTCCGCGTTTGAGCTTGGCGACTTTTCGGAAGCTATTTTATACCTTGCATCTCAAAAAGCTCGCTTGCAGTCACGCGCACGTGAACTATGCTCACCCCCACCACCATCGCCCTCGCCTACCTCAGATGTCAGTCCCACGCTTCCATCTCCTCCACGTACGAGATGCACTTTGAAAACGAAAAGATCTCATGTTCGAGCCCACACTCAAAATAACGAAGGACACCAGACCGCGCAGGCCGATTCTGCCCCCATCATTCCTTCATCTCAAAAACCCAAATCTCGTCACTCAAAGTCCAAGAGGCGGAAATCAGCCCCTACGCAAGGCAACCGTCGGCAAGCATCCACTGCAAATGCGACCCCAGCCTTACCTGTCACTCATGGTCACATTGACACTGCTGCAGTGGATCCATTTTGTCCTCAGCCATACCACAAAACTCTATGGCACGTCGCTTCTGATTCCGGCCCTGTTCCAAGGTTCAAGCGCGGCTCAGCCGCACAGGCAGCTTCGGAGTTGCTTCGAATTCCCGTGACTTCCCTCACCGCGGAACCTCCGATTCCTTATTACTACGGTGATGTTCCTCGAAAGTTCGTCGCTCGTCCTGTCACACAGTCTGCCACCCTTTATCAATCTCTACCCCTTGCCCGGCATAGGCACTCGATCGCTACACTCCCTTTCCCACATTCTTTAAGTTCACAATGCTCCAACCCCGTGGATCTGTCAACCATTTCGATCATGAGCACTCTGTCAACACAAATCACAACCCAATCATTCTCTTCACCTTCGTTAGCCAATGATTTGACTCTACCCCTCACGGTTGCGGAGAAGACAAGATCACTGGACTGCAAACTAAAAGGCATGTGTGCAATCATTCCAGGTGGATCCTATCGACCTTCGTTCATTTTCGTAGACCATTCCAATGTGATATGGTCATTCCTTCGTCATCTCAACATCAATCGACCTTCATTAGATGTCCACGATCAGGATCGTTTTCATCATCTTGATCGTGGCATGACCAAACCTAAGCGCAGACTAGACTATGCAGTACTTTTCCGAATCCTTGAGCGAGAACGTAAAACGATACTGAGACGGTATATTGCGGCCTCCAATCCTCTCTACCAACCTGATATGATTTCTTATTGGGAATCGAAAGGGTATGAAATTGCTATCGTAAGTTGCCTCTTTTCATCATACCCCTTGTGCACATCTCATTGATGATCACTATTCACCCGCATCTGACATTGTCTTGATAGCTCGACCCAGTCGTCAATCGCAACCCTACAACCAGAAAAATAATCAACCCTAGTCGAATGCCTCGTCGAGCTTCAGCAGGGCCTACCATTAACGTCGTAGACAAGAGTAGTTGCACTGAATCCGATTCAGAGCCTTCCGCCACTCCATATTCTATCGGCAAAACTGATAAGCATCTGCGGTATAAGGAACAGGTGCGTTCAAACATGACTTCTTGAGCTTGATAAATTAGCTCATTTGTTTTGACTCATTTGCTCAGGCTGTCGATGAAGTGATTCAGGTACGCCTTCATCATATTGAACTTGTTCATTTGCAAATTCAGATACTAATGACCGTTTCATGTGGGATCTTACAGCTGAACATGATCGACACAATCATGGAATTTGATTGGAAAGGTTCAAATCATGACTCCAGGCCCCGTCCGATCCTCACTCTTGTTTCTGGAGATGCCAACGCGGGTGAATACAGTAAACCTGGTTGTAAGTTGATCATTCTTCAGTGCCACTTCATCACACACTAACGTCGTCTGTTTGGTTTTAGTTTGGGGATGGGTTGTCAGATGTTTAAAATTAGGTTGGGATGTTGAGATAATTGGATTCAAACAAGCAATCTCAAATCGCTGGTTCCAATTAGAGTCACCTACCAGAGTAGGTGATCATGGAATCCTTGCTGTCTATACTCTTGATCAATTCACCGACGAATTGATTTCCGATATCGCCTGAGAGACAATCCTTGTTCTCAAAATATACGCTCGCTATAATTTGGACGTTTTTTTGTTACATACAAGTAGTCACCGATAGCAAGATGTCTTCGTACTAATTTGACTTATGTATCATTTTGTTCTCTTTTCATTCCCTCACTTTTGTTTGATCCACTTTTTCACAAATTTTCCATCCTCTGTAGATTAGATTTTATCTCAAGTTTCAACTTTATCTCCATCTCTCTCTTTCAAGGGACTTCCAATGCCCTTTTCCTCTTTTTCTTTCCATATATCGTAACATTATCCTAGTTGATGGACTCTCCTTCGTAGCATGGCACCTTTCTTATACACGCGCATTTTATTAGTACAACTGGGTTTGAGAAAGGAGGATTCTGAGAACAATACATGTTTGTTATCTCTCTTGTCATATATAAATTGACACACATTTGAAATTATTATTTTCCATGGACTTGAAGCAAGTGAATCAACACGCAACATGCTTTACCTTTGTAGTCAGGTGGTGGGCGCGGCGCATCTGGCGCGTCAAAGAGCGCGCCTGCCCAGGCGCGCCGGGCGCGCCAAATATTTTCAGAAACATGGGGGTGGCGCGCCCATAAGCAAGACTAGGATAATCTGAGGGTTAGAAGGTCTTGTGGGGCCTGATCTTGAGCTATAAGACACCTATTACATTGCAATTTTGGGCTGTTTAACTTTTGAGCTAGAGAAAGCCCTATAAATGAGCTCTGCTCCAGATATCTGTGCTATTGGTTGTTCATGTGAGTTGCAGGACCCTTAAAATGGTTCTTGAATGAAGATGCCCTCTCATTCTGATCTCAAAAATGTTGCTTGAAAAAGCTTTTCTCATGTCCCTAGCTGTGTTTGAGCTTCATCACCGCCTTTTTTGCTGTTTTTAAGAAGAAAAATTTCATTTTTTTGTGTTTTTTGCTCAAAAGGCGCGCCCACACACCTCCTGCTATTTGGGCGCGTCCTAGACAAAGGATTCTGCGCCTGGGCGCGCCTCTCGCTGGGAAAACTGCGCCCACCACCTGACTTTGTAGCAAGGACCATGTAGCACACACTGTGTCACGTGCGCAAATAGATGCGGAGATTCGAGCGGGTCAGGCAAAACTGCAGCTATGGCTAAGTCTACTGTAGATGTCACACTGGGGGCGCAGAAAAAAAAACACGCCTGA